AGTTATAAGCAAAGCCACCTTTTATAAACGAGCCTTAGAATGTACCAGGGACTGTGAAGCACCTTATATCCATGAACCCATTAATCCCTGTGATGAGGAAAGCAACTTTTGAGAAGAACAAACTTTGTTTTTCTGGGTTGCCGCCTAAGCATCTTATGGTATGATAACCCTACCGACGCTCAGAGTCTGGACATTTAGATAAGGACTTTTGAGTTTAGGATGCCCCAAGTTCCCGCTTTTATTTTGCCCTAGGCACTTTTTAAAATAACTACTTAGAGTTAAGTTGGAGGAGAGTTAATGACCTCTGCCCCAGTCATCTCCTAAGTAATAAGTGCTTGCTACTCTGCTCTCTATCTCCCGCTGGCTCCTGCCCTTCCCCTGGCTCTTGGCATACACACCCCCACTCTTAGGAGCTGTAAGTAATCAATCTTGGGACTCTTTCTCCCTTTGTGTGGGTGTATTGAAACTGTGCCTTCAACCCAAACGACACTGGGTTGCACTTCCCCATAGTGGGAGCTTGGATGCTGAGGGAGCTACCTCACAACACTGTGTGGGTGGCTTGTGCCCCCTCGTTCAGCAGGTCATAATTGGCATCTCGATATAATACACCAGCTGTGGGCCCCTCAGCACAGTCCTTCCCACAATGCCGTGGGGTGGATACCGGTTATTACCAACTCAGTAAACACTGATATTTATGATAACCATGAAAGTAGGAGACCCTTTCTTATTGAGCGCTTACTGTTGACTAAGATTGTGCCATGTCCATGAGTGTCCCTGCTTTATATCTGGGAAAACTGAGGCTGGTAGAGGCAAAGCCCCTTGCATAAGGTTAATCACCTAGGAGGTGGCAGAGACAGGATTTGAACCCTGAGAGTCTGGACTTCCGCCACGATGCCTTCTGCTCTTTACCAAGAAGGTCCCCCCCTCGAGGCCCTCAGGTAAGTGAGTAACATAACATCCTGGGGCAGTCTGCAGCTTTATTGCTCACAGCCCTGGGAAGTAGCCCAAATCCTGACTGCTTTTTTGTTTTTTCTCTCTTCTTTTTTCCTCTTCTCCTCCTCTCCTTCCTGATTTTCTCTCCTTCTCTTTGAGAGGCTTATATAACTTACAGACAGCAAAGTGCACAAATCTTAAAGTTGAGACTTAAATGTTTTCCTATGCTTATACTCGTGTCACCATCACCCCATCAAGACAACACCTTTCCACCACCTGAAGATTCCTTTGTGCCCCCTCCCAGTCAGTATCTCCCACTCCCACCCCCACTATTGTGACTTATATTACCATACATTAATTTTGTCTATCTTCAAACTTCATAGAAGGCTTTTCCAATTTTACAGTTAAGGAACCAAGGCAAGGAGGGGTGACACAACTTGTCCCAGGTGCCCCAGCTTCTTAGCAGCAGAGCCAGGAGGTTAGCCCACATCCATCTGCCACTGCCCTGTGGGGCTTCTCATCATCCTTGCTAGTGACAGGAGAAATCAGGCCCATGGGTCCCCAGACAGCAGTAAATCCACAAAAAACTTTTATTGCCCCTCCAGGTGGGCTGGTTTCTGGCTGTCCTTTCACCTTTTAAAATCAGTTCAGCCCTGAGCTTAGTGGAGTCTCTCTCTCCCTGTCTTTCCCTCCCATACCAATCAATCAGTCAATCAATCAATCAATAGATCTTTTAAAAAAAATTTCAATTCAGCCCCAGCCATTAATGTTAGCTAGCCTTAGTGGGCATCTGCAGGTGGCAGGCTATGGACAGGCTTGCAGCGCTGGCTGGAGGGAGGAAGAAGCCAACAGCCATGGAACATCTGCCTTGGATTCAGAAAGTAGCTGTCTTGGCCTCACTGGGTCAGCGGCACAGGTGATTGAACTGCATTCATCTTGCAGCCCAGGGCCCTTCAGGAAGGCACCTGGGAGCAGCCAGTTCTAGCCTTACATAACCAAACTGGCCCAAGCTCTGCAGCAGTGGGCTTCCCATCTCTCCTGAACACCTCAGCCCCTTTATTGTAGGTGGCATTAGGGAGCCTGGGCTCTGCGGGCTGGGAGAGGCCCCTGGGGCCTCGAGGTGAGTTCACCTGGGTGCCGCACTCGGATTTCGCTTCTCTGCGCTGAGGTCACCTCCCTAGGATTGCCAGGGGATGACATCATCCCAAAATCCCTCAGTGAAGTGCTGAGGCCCTGCCTCCCAGGTGGGAAAGGTGAGCAGCTTTAAGGAAAGGGGTTCGTTTGGGAAAGGCATCGGGTTCCTCCTCCTCGGTGATGTTTTGCTAATCATCCAGCAATCTCATCACTAAACAGCCCTTTGGAGTTGCAAATCAAGGCTGGAGTAGAAATTGGGCTCTGAAGGCTGAGGAGGAGGATTTGGCTAATGAAGATACACATCCCTGGCATACCTCCTGTGCTCCTGCTTGCTCCTCTCCCGCTGGCTCATTTGTTCTCTTTGTTCCCTGATAGGGGCCAACCCTATGAACCTGCCAAGCACAGACCCTTAGACAAGCCAGGCCAGGCTGCCCTTCTCCATTTTCCTACTTGACCCCAGAAGTTGAGAGCAAGAGGGAGGGGAGATAGCTTGAGTCCTGGAAATCCTGGGGCTCAGGCAGAAAGCAGACCTGGGTTGGGATTTTAGCTCTGCAATTTCCTGCTGTGTGACCCTGGAGATGGGACTCACCCTCTCTGGGCCTCAGCTTCCTTGTTCTAAAATGGAGATCAGGACATTTCACAGGAAGAGATGTGATAACATAGACTCATTTGGAACTTTCCTGGTTTAATGGGCTGGAGGACCAACAATCTGTCACTCTTTTGTCTCCAGGAACATCCTTGTCACTTCCACAAGGAAACAAACCCCAGGTGACTTTTTCAGCCTGCTGTTAATTGAGCACCAGCTACATCACATTAGGTGCGAGGAGCATAAAGACAGGGTCTGAGTAAAAGCAAAATGCCCTGGCCATGGTCTAACTCATTCTTCCCCCAAGATGTGGCTATTTAGAAGATTTTCTGAGAGTCTAATTGCTTAGATCTGCAAAGCCTTTATTCTACATCCTGTGGACAAGACCCTGGCTAATGTTTACAATAGCCACAGCCCAGCCACTTCAAGCTGCCCCCATAGCTGTTCACTAGCGGATGTCTCTAAGACACTTTGAGCTCAGCACAGCTACATGGAATTTCTCTTCCAGGGGCTCCCAGTCCAGCAAATGGTTCCAGATAGAACTCATCAGTCTGCCTGCATGCATCCCTCCAGCCAGCCCCACGGCCTGTCCAGCAGGAATCCTGCCTGCTGTAGCTCACCAAATCTTATGTCCCTCCCACCTGTTCCCCCTCCTCCATACCCAGTCCAGGCGCCATGTCTCATCTGCTCTCACCTGCACCACTGCATCAACCTCCCGTGTGGGCTCCCCAGGTATGGTGGCCCCTCTGGTCAGTCTTCTTGCAGCAGCCCGAGGGAGCCTGTGGAAGTATAAGCCTGACCATGCTATTGCACTCAGGTTGTGAAGGCCTCATCAGGGCTCCCAAGCCCACCTGACACATTCCCTGTCCATAAACCAGCTACATCACAAGGCCCCCTTCCCTTTTCTCTGTGCTGCAACCATGGTGACCTTCGCTCAGTTCCCTAAATCCACCACTTCCAAGCCTCTGCACACTTTGTCTCAGGGATTCCCTCTCCCTCTTTCCTGGGACAGCCTCCTCATCCCAACTTCCTCAGGCCTCAACCCCCACCTCCTCAGAGAAGTCCTTCTGGCCCACTCCCCCCAGAGGTCAGTTGCCCTGTTTGTCCCTCCCATAGCACCCCACAGCTTTGCGACAGAGCAAGAATCATAGTTGTAGAAGGTATTTATATAGAAGGCGAGCAATGTTTGTAAGGTTGATGAAGGCAGAGACCACGTCTGACTGGTTACCCGCTGTGTCTAATGCCTGACAGGTAGCAGGCACTCAAAAAGTATTTGTTGCGTAAATTCGTATTGCTGATGGATCCTAATGTGGTGCCCTTGTTCTGGATAACAAGGTGGCATGGCCGTCCATGGAGACCCCTGCCCCCAAACTGTGCTTCTCTTCACAAAGACCTCCACGTCAGTGTCCCTGAAACCTGTGAGTTTGTTACCTTATGTGGCTGAAGGAATTTTATAAATGTGCTGGCGCCCAGCATCTTGAGCCAGGGAAGTGACCCTGGGTTGTCCAGTGGGCAAGATGAAATGACAGAATTGCTCAAAGCGGGAGTTAGGAGGTCAGAAAGGAGTGAAGATACCCTGTGGCTCTGCTGGGTTTGAAGGTGGAGGACGGGCTGTGAGCCTGGGCAGCCTCTAGAAGCTGAGAAAGGCAAGACCAAGGATTCTGTTCTGCAGCCTCCAGAAGGAGCACAGCCCCACACCCTCATTTCAAAAACACTTCTGACCTCCAGAAGTGCAAGATAATAAACGTGTGTTATTGTAAGCCACCTGCTTTGTGATAATTTGCTGCGGTGGTCACGGAACACTAACATATTAGTCTAATCATGTCTCGGACCTGGTGTTCACCCCAGGGCTTTGTGAGAGCTGGACATTGAGGAGGACCACCCAGTGGAGTGGGAGGAGGTTCAAGAGAGTAGGGAGTAAGGTCCCATGTGCCTGGTGGTGCCAGGCCCTGATGCCTACCTAGTAAGACTCACATTCTCAAGTGTTCAGACAACCCCATTAACAGCGGGTGGTGGTATCCCATTTAACAGGTTCACAGAGGTGATGGTATCTCCTGAGTTCACGTAGAAAGTGGCAAAGCCGAGATTAGAACTTGAATGTGTCTGACTCTGAAAACCATGCCCCTACCACCATCCCGTCCCCCTCCCTCTAAGTGGTAAGGCCAGCCTTTGGAGAGGGCCCTCAAGATGGGAGCCTCCATCCCGTGTCTAGCAGCCACACGCTTCCCCGAGATGGGAGTCCTGCTTATCTGAGCAGTGGTCACCAAGGGAAATGGCCCCCGACTGGCCCCTGCAGCTGGGATAGGTGCCCCATCTCAACAGAAGCTTCTGTACTTGTCTCCCTTAGCGTGAATGAGCTCTACGTCGATGACCCGGACAAGGACAGTGGGGGCAAAATTGACGTCAGCCTGAACATCAGTTTACCCAATTTGCACTGCGAATGTGAGTATTCCCGACAGCCCTCTGCTGTAGCAGGACCCCCTCCCAGAGGCAGAGCTGGGTGTGCAGCTCTGATGACCAGGATAAGCCAGCAAACGGGACACGTACAGATAGCAGGTAGCATAAGATTCTCTTTAATCCTTTTGGGGGGGGGAATGTCATCCCATGTGCACGCATTTGGAGGTTTTCTAGACTACAAAGCCCATGAAATTGCTAGTAGGGGTGACCTCTGGACAGTAGCCATGTTGGTGTGTCAGGGGCTGTCTCCTAGGTCAGGTTCCCAAGAAGCAGAGTCTGAGATTTTCTGCAAGTGGGTTATTGAGAGAGGGATCCTGGGAGGAACCAGAAGGGTATAGGGGATGCAAGAGAACAAGCAGAGATATGTGTTCAGCAGAGGTCTAATCACAGCCTGATTTCATGGGGAACTGTGGCATGTGACTGGTGCCACAGTTGGTCCTACCCGGTAGCAAAGGGGCCTGGCTGTTATGATCCATATCCCTGACTAGAGGCTGCAGGGTGATGTGTGGGGATGGGGTGGGGGTGGGGGGAGGTCACATCACCTCTCAAGGATCTCTAGGCAAGGAGACCTCCAACTAGCCATGAGCAGTCACCTGGAGGGGATGCAGCTCTGACCTGTTAGCAGCTATTGGGAAACTTGATTTTTTACTTCATACCCTATTTTGTTTGTTTGTTTCATGTGTTTCAACCAAGAGAATGAATTACTAGTATAAAACAAAACCCACTGGAAGTCTGGTTTGGAGTCATAATCTGGCTCTTTTGCTCACTAATACTGGGTGACCCTGGCTAACATGTGACCTCTCTGAGCCTGTTTCCTCATCTGTCAAAATGGGTTTAGTGCTATCTATCACCTGAGGTGTCTGGGAGGGTCTGATGAGCTGATTCCTACACTTCTTATCAAGTGGACAGACAGGGTGTCCCCTCCTGGACTAGGGTTCTTGTGTCCCTTTGCCGCAGCCGGGCATGCAACCCGATACCGCTCCTTCTCCTCCCACCCACTCCCTTCTTCCGGAAGGACAGAACTTCGGGTGTGTCTGCGGGCAGAGATAGGGAGCAATTCAGTTCTGTTATTGCTTTTGGTGAGAATTACATCACAATTTTGAATCCATAGTGGGCCTCAGGCCAGGGAACCTGTTGAAATAGGTCAGTTTTATTTTTATTTTTTCTCTTTCTCTTAGAAAAATAATTCATCTGGCAGCTTCTCATTCAGGAGTTGGTTGTGTCTCTGGAACAAGGAAATTCTTAGTCAGGCCAGAGGGCTGGGATGAGTGGGGCAGGGGAGGGAAGGGATGTGGTTCCAGGCTCTGTCCCAGCGATGGGCAGTGGCCCAGGAGGGACCCGGCCACCTCAAGCTTCAGGCTGCATCAACTTTCCGGGCCCTGCTGCTTTGTGAGCCCCTAACCTGAACCCAGGCGCCTCTCACTGGAGCCCCACACCCTGGCTTTTCTTTAAAAGAACTTTACGTTTTTATTATAGAAAAAAAAATGCATGCTCATCATTGTACCTTCAGAAAATCCATAATTCCACCTCCAACGACAGCATCAGTTGACATCTGACGCCATTCCATCCTGTTGGCCGTTCTTTCTGTGCGTTTCTAACCACAGCTGAGATCACGCTGTGTGTGCAATCTCATATCCTGCTTTAAAAAGTAATATTTGATTGTTAACTAATACAAGAATATCTTTTTTTGCTTCAAAAAAAATCATGTTCAAAATACAAAAATATATAAAGGAAAAAGAAGTAAAAGAAGTACGTGTTTCCTGGGGTGTCATCCTCCCCAGAGGAAGCCTCTGCTGAGAGTTGGGACTCCCTGCCCACCCCTCTGTGTGTATGCGTGCGTGCGTGTGTGTGTGTGTGTGTGTCCATCTGTCCGTCTGTCTACAAACATATAGCATGTTTAGGTGGGAGTATTTTTTGGTGTTTTGCTTTTATTTTAACATAATTGGGCCCAAGTACGTGGAACCTTTCTGGGATTTCTTGTTTTTCTTCTGCTAATATCTTGGAGCTATTCTTATATTACTCATGATATTAGTAAGATGATAACCACAGTGGCCATTTATTCCGCTCCTACTCCCAGCCAGGTTCTGGCCTGAATTCTTTGGCTGTGTTAGTGCATTAAGATGAGAGGTGCTCTAGCAGAGTGGCCAAAGGGTGTGGCCTCTGGATTGAAACTCTGTGGGTTCCAATCCAAGCTCCACTGTTTCTTAGCTGTGAGATCTCAGGCAAGTTACTTAACCTCTCTGTGCCTTAGTGTCTCCCACTAGGGTCTGATAACATCTTCCCCACAGGGATGCTCAGATGGTGTATTCTTACATAAAAAGCACTTAGAAGAGTATCTGGTAATTTTTTTTAAGATCCTCACAAGCTTCGGATAGCTTCCTCCTCACAAGGAAGAAAATGAGGCACAGGAAGGTTAGGTAAGTTGCTCGAGGTCCCAGAGCTGGTAGGGGGCAGAGCCAAGCTCTGAGTCACTGGCCTGCTCTGAGCCACCTCTCCCCACACGTAGATTTAGCTCTGTCTTTGTACCTGCTGCACAGCATTCCAGAGAGGGCTGTTCCATTGACCAGTCCCCATTGACAGGCAGCTGGGTTGCCTCCAGTTGTCACCATTTCAAATAAAGTTGCTCAGAGCAGCCTTGCACACACGTCTGGACATGTGTGTGTCTGGAGAACGGGTTCCTAGAGGTGGGGCTGCTGAATCAAACAGGGACCTGTTTGCATTTCTTTTAAATCAAACATCACGGCATCAGCATTTCCCACATACTACAGATCCATAAGCGTCATTTTTAATAACTACATCACGTTTCCTTCTATGGATGGGCCCTCAATCACTTCCCTATCCCTACTGAGGAATACGATTGTTACCATTTTTCCCTTTTAGGGTTGGCGCACATATAATTGCTTCCAGCTGTTCTTTCTCTGTGTTGCAATCTCCTTTCCAGTGCTTCTTTCAGAGAAATTTCTGCGTTTTCATGGTTTATAAACCCATGCCACTTAGGCCATCTCAGGGAATGCAGCTGGCATGGGCCTGCCCATTTTACAGATTGGGAAGCTGAGTCATAAGTTGAGAGTCACATTGGAATCAAGGACCAGGACTCCCATCCCATTCAGTATACTGGGCGGTATACTGGGTATACCAGTATACCAGTATTCTCAGTATACTGAGAAACCAGAAAAGTGCCCAAGCTCCAGGAGGACAAGGCTTGAAGGTTTAGGCTTTGGGTAAAAGAAGATGTGAATGGATGAATGATGAGTGAAATGAATGAATGACTGCCTGGACCTGTTTGCCCAATGAATCCAGAGACTGAGACACATCATGTGCTGCCATTTGTTAGGCACTTGCCCTGTACTATGTACCAGACTCTGGTCTAAGAATTTTCTCTTTTTTTTTTTAAGATTTTATTTATTTATTTATTCATGAGAGACACAGAGAGAGAGGCAGACACAGGCAGAGGGAGAAGCAGGCTCCATGCAGGGAGCCCGATGTAGGACTCGATCCCGGTCTCCAGGATCATGCCCTGGGCTGAAGGCAGCGCTAAACCACTGAGCCACCCGGGCTGCCCTGTTCTAAGCATTTTCTACACATATTCATTATTTGATCCACATAGTTCTCCAAGGAAGGTCTAATTATTATCACTCTCATTTTCCAGAGAAAGAAACAGGCATCGAGGGGTTATGTGCCTTGGCCGGGGTTCCACAGCTGGTAAAAGGCAGGGCCAGGATTCAGACAACATTTTAACCCTCACCCTCTGCTTCTCCCTATAGCCTTGCATTTAGCAGAGTCACCCCTGCATCCCGCAGTCTTCCATACCTCACCGCATTAGCTGCTACCTCCCCCAGCTCTTCCCCCTCTTCCTTTGCAGCATCAGGCAGTGGCAGGGATGGGACATTGTGGGCTTGCTCCCCTTTGGCCCAGCCATCACCTTCTCCCCCTCTGTTGGCTGCCTTCCTCTCTGTGGCTCTGGGCCCCAGACTGTGAGCGCCTACATGGCCTGAGGCCCACCTGTCCATGGAGTGGATGGGACATGGTGGTCCAGGAAGGAGAGGGCCCCCCTCATTGTTTCAGGTGTTTGTGACTCTTTCCTCTCCTTGACCCCTGCAGTGGTCGGGCTCGACATACAGGATGAGATGGGCAGGCATGAGGTGGGGCACATCGACAATTCAATGAGGATCCCAGTGAACAATGGGGCCGGCTGCCGCTTTGAGGGGCATTTCAGCATCAACAAGGTATGGAGACCCTGCATGGGCCCCTGTTACCCAATCCTCATCCCGTTGGTCCCCTTCCTACCAGGAACTGGATGGTAGAGCTGTGTGCTCACTTGGCCTCCCTCCAGCGAGACCCTAACTCGTATCAGGGTGCCCTGACGTTTCCTACTGTGAATCCGGTGGGGGGTTCCAGGTTCCCCGAGGCATGGAGCCCCCACTGGCTGGTTTAGGAAGGGGCAACTCTTCTTCCCAACAGGGAAGGCCAAGGGTGGTGAGAAAACCATGGGATTTCCAGCCCTGAGTGTTCATCCCAGCTCCTACCCCTCTTGGCCAAGCAGTCCCCTACAAGTCACTGTACCCATCTTAGCCATTTTTAGGGGGAGGATGTGATAATGACACCACCCAGCTCACAAAGTTTATATGAGGACCAAACGAGCTATTACAAGCTCATTGTCCCATTGATTTGGGACACTTTTATGGGATGCCTCCTGCGTTCCACGGCAGGGAGGTTCTTGGCTTGGGGCCACCCAGAATAGGGGGAAAGGAATGGAAGAGCTGGAATAAGTGGGCAGATTTCCCTCATTGGCGGAGCTTCTGTGCTGTAGGGGGAGACTGACAATATACAAACTGAAAAGCATTTTGGTGGCTAGGAGACAAGGAGGGATAGTGGGGCAGTTTGAAAGTACCTGGTAGGCCCCAAAGGACAACTGAGGCATTGCTATTGTTTTGTTGCTAGAACCAGGAACTTCAGCTCCCGAGATGTGAGCACGTGCATCTGAGAGTGCCAGGGATTCCTGGCGGGAACCAGCAGGTTGCTCCACACGTGCTGCTGCACCCTTTCCAGCTCCTCTTACATATTACGTATTACTGCGGGGAGCCTCCCAGTAACCCCATGAGGTGGCCCCATGTTGCAGATAAGGACACTAAGACGCAGAGAGGTGGAGTGTCTTGCCAAGATCACACTCTGTGTTCCATACATAACTCCCTTCCCAATCCCAGCCAGACTGAGCCATTGGCCACCCCTGGCTTCGGCTTGCCCGCTTATAGCCTCTGTCAGAACACCTTTCCTCTGATCCCTGACATCTGACTCAGACATTGCGAACTCACTGGCCACACCCAGCCCAAAGACAAGTTACATGCATCCTGTACAGTGTTCAAACACGTCAGAGCCAATATCTAAAGATTGGGAGTCCAGATTCTGGCTTTTCAAAGTCAGAGGCTCTAACCACACTGGGCCCACATCCCTTTGGCAACTGCTATCTGGATCCAAGGGGGGCAGCTGCCCCTTTAGATAGGGCATGTGCCCTCTACTCCCATGGTTCCTGTTAGGTGGCTGCAAGACTAGGCTGGGCCAATGGTGTGACTGGACGTGTCTCTCCCCACGTAGTCTCAGGGCCTCTCCTCCCCACATGGCCTCTGTGTGTGTTCTTCCTGGCAGTGGACTTCTTCCATGAGAGCCCCGGGGCTCCCTCAAGTGCTAAAGCAGAGAATGTCACATCTGCCACATTTTAGGGGTTAAAAATAAATCACAAGGCAGTGCTGTGCTCTGTGATTCAGATTTTATGGTGGTTGTGATGGGAAGCCATTTGAGAGTTTTAAGCAGGGAAGCAATGCAGTAAGACTTACAGTTTAGAACTAGATTATCCAATATGGTAGCCATTAGCCATGGGGGGCTCTTTACATTTAGATTCCTTAAAATTAAATACAATGAAAAATTCAGTCTTTCCATCTCATTGGTCACATTTCAAGTACGTTATTCAGAGAGACTAGTGGCTACCATAGTAGTGCTATATAACATTTTCATCATCAGAGAAAGTTCTGTGGGACAGCCAAACTTTAGAAAGCTCACCATGACAGCTGTGAGGGGAACGCAGAGGAGAGGGCCAAGAGCAGAGGTCATGATCCACGGTTGTACAGCGGAGTTGGAGACAAGTGGGCAGACTAGGGATGTGGAGTCAACAAGACTTACAGATCAGTTGGATGTGGGTGGTGAGGACAGGTGTGAAATCAAAGCAACTTCTTAGGTTTTTTTCTGGACAACCAGGAGGTCCCTTTCTAGATACAGAAGCTTGGGCAAGCATGGATTCTATGGGCGATGGTCCTGGGAAACAGTCGTTCAATTCTGTATGTGTTTCATGTGGGATTTCCCCAAAAGATGTTAAATTGGAGATGTTTCTGGGGTTCAGGATAGTGTTCTGAGGTGGAATGTGAATGTGGGAGTCATCAGTGAATAGATGATGTTGGAAAAGTGTCCATGGCATCAAAAGGTAAGAACCCAATATCTTTTTTTTTTTAAGATTTTATTGATTTATTTGTGAGAAAGAGAGGCAGAGAGAGACAATATGAGCTAAGGGGAGGGTTGGGGGCAAAGGGAGAAGCAGGCTCCCCACTGAGCAGAGAGCCCAACACAAGGCTCTATCCCAGGACCCTGAAATCATGACCTGAGCTGAAGGCAGACACTTAACTGACTGAGCCACCCAGAGGTGCCCCAGAGCCCAAGGTCTTGATGCAAATGTGGTTTGAGGACTGATTTCTAATATATTCCAGTGTTCAGGAGCAGGAAGATGAGGGGACGACAACAGATAGAAGGGGCATCCAGGCAGGTAGGATGGGACCAGGCCTAGTTGGGCCCTAGAATATAGAAGAGACCATGGATCAAAGAGGAAGGCTGGTGTTGCATGGGCAGGGTGGACCACTGACCCAGGAGCTGCAGGGAAAGCCAATGGCATGGGAGAGAACAGGGCTGCTATACAACCAAGGCCTTGGAAAGCACAGGGGGTATGGGGTCCAGGCCACAGTGGAGGGGTGGTGGCCTTGGAGAGGAGGGAGGGTGGGCTCACAGGGTGATGGATGAATTGGTGGTAGGACCAGGCTCTTGCTCTGCCCCCACCTGTGTGCCTGGAGAACTGCTGCTTATGCACAGATTTTATTATTTTTTTTATTTATTTATTTTTTTAATTTATTTATGATAGTCACACACACACACAGAGAGAGAGGCAGAGACACAGGCAGAGGGAGAAGCAGGCTTCATGCACCGGGAGCCCGACGTGGGATTCGATCCCGGGTCTCCAGGATCGCGCCCTGGGCCAAAGGCAGGCGCCAAACCGATGCGCCACCCAGGGATCCCATGCACAGATTTTATTGATGGGGTCCCTCTAGAGTCCCTCCTTCCCCTTCCTCTGACCACGTTGTCCATTATGCCCTCTGTGTTGTTACCATCCATCTCACTGCTTGACTCCTTTGACCATTGCTCCCCATCCCTTGCTGATGAATTCATGCCTCTCGCTATTGAGTGTCTGCTGTGTGCCTGGTTCCACACTTGGCACTGGGATGCAGTCCTGAAAGAAACAGCTGTGGCCTCTGCCCTGGGTGGCACTGTGGTCAATTACGGAGTGATGGGCAGCCCACAGCTAAACCCTCAACCCAATGTGTAATCTTGATGAAGCAGCCATGAAGAGAATGGAGAGGGTGTGAGGGTGGAGCATAAGGGAGGAACCCCACTGAGATAGGGGCATAAGGGAAGGCCTGTCTGAGGGGTGATGGCTGAAGATGAGCAGACACGCACACAAATCCCAACTGTGGGGGCCTCCCCTCAGGAGTGTGATTGCCTGGCTTAAACAAATATTTATGCCCTAGACAATGAGCAAAGAACCTGTCAGGACCCAGCCTGGGGTGGACACAAGAAAAGCAGGACACTACCCTGGAGATAGCCCAGCACCACACTCTCCTCCCCTTGGCAAATATGCCCAAGGCTGCAGTCAGCTCCCCTCAGACAGGCTGTGGTGGGGTCCCCAGCTGGCTCGGGGTGAAGTGGGACTGGCTTTTTGGAGCAGACAGACCCTGGCGAGAACCCTGGCTATGGTGCTCACTGATTGAATGACTCTGGGCAGTGGAGCCTCTCAGAGCCTCAGTTTCCTCATCTGTAAAATAGGGATACTAGTACTGCCCTCCCAGGTTATAAGATATGAGCAAATTAAACTACAGAGCACTTAGCACCCTCGGAACAGGGACAAGCATCGATGCCCCTTCCCTGGCCTTCCTTATCTTCCACCCATAGGAGCATCCAGGATTTCACCAGCTGGCACCCACTGTCACCTGGGTGCAAGTGTGCTCATAAAATGTACATGGAGGACGTTCAAGAGATGAGTCTTCTCTGCTTGGGGAGGGCTGGGGATTCTAGGAAAATGTCATGCCAGCCCTCACCTTATGGCTGCCACCTATTAGGTTCTTACCTGGCCCTTTTCCAGATATACCCATTTAGTCCTTGTAACAGCTCTGAGGAGACCAAGGCACAAGGAATTAAGTAGGATTTGAACCCAGGCAGCCTGGCACCAGGTCCCTGCTTTCCCCCTGTGTCTCCCGTCCCTTTGTTGCTTCTCCCTGCCAGCATCTTGGTCACATGAGCTATGACCGCTTGTGTCTATTCCCTCCAGGTCAGGCCACCCCCTGCCCTTGTCCCTTTGCATGGTGTGGAGCCGCCACCCTCCCCTGTCCTTGGCTTATGCCTCCTGGGAGCTCTCAGTCATGGGGTGCTCAGCAAGAGAACCAGCAGTGACAGTGTGCCCTCGAGATGGGTGAGGTTAGTAGCTGGCCCCAGCCCCTTTATCTCCCAGTATCAGGCTCACACTTGCCCCACAGCCTCCTTATCTGTCCATCAGGAAGTCAGCCAGCAGTCAGACATTCAAGGTCGCATGTTCCAAGCTGCACTGGCTGCCCCCAGCAGCCCAAACTCCCCACTGAATCACCCAGCCTCCAGGAGGAGGGCAGGATGGGCTCGAGTCTGGGGACTGGCTCCATCTATATGTTTCTAAAATCTACAGAGACACTGACGTAGGTTCCTAAGTCACAGGCTCTAAAAGCATCGTCTTTTTCTTTCTTCAGCCCAGCGTGTGTTGGCATGAGTCAGCCACCTGTGATGGATTCCTTGTGGAGAGGGAGTGGGTCACTGAGTCACAGCCTCGCAGGGAGGCAGCGGGTGGCAGATGTGCGGGAGCCAGCCTCCTTGACTCACTTGACTCTGGGAGTGTGAGGACCAGGCTCCAAACCCCATTCTGAACTCTGCCCACTGGAGGCCCTATGTCACTGCATGGAAAAATTCCAAAGGACACATGCCTGACGCTATTGGTTTCTTACTTCCGGAGGTGATAGACAACGGGGCCTGTAGTCCTCACTTTATGGTGTGATTTATTTTTTTAAGATTTTATTTATCTATTCATGAGAGACACAGAGAGAGGCAGAGGGAGAAGCAGACTCTTTCTGTGGGGAGCCTGAAGCGAGACTCGATCCCAGGACCCCAGGATCACAACCCAAGCCAAAGGCAGATGCTCAAATCACTGAGCCACTTAGGCATCCCCTTATTATGTGAATTTTTTATAATATAAGTGTGTTTAGTTATTTAAGGAAAAATGAAGTTAAAAAATATTTTTAAGATACAGTGGGCTTGGGTGTCTGGGGGACTCAGTGGTTGAATGTCTACTTTTGGTTCAGGGTGTGATCCTGGAGTCCTGGGATCGAGTCCCACATCAGATTCCTCACGAGGAGCCTGCTTCTCCCTCTGCCTGTGTCTCTGCCTCTCTCTGTCTGTCATGAATAAATAAATAAAAATATTTTAAAAAAGAAAAAAAGATGCAGTGAGCTTTACCCCATGTCCTGTCCATGTACATGCTGTTCTCTGTTCCAGAAGGGTCCTTGTTCTTTTTTTTTTTTTTAGGTTTTTTTTTTTTTAATTTTTAATTTATTTATTTATGATAGTCACAGAGAGAGAGAGAGGCAGAGACACAGACAGAGGGAGAAGCAGGCTCCATGCACCGGGAGCCCGATGTGGGATTCAATCCCGGGTCTCCAGGATCGCGCCCTGGGCCAAAGGCAGGCGCCAAACCGCTGCGCCACCCAGGGATCCCAAGGGTCCTTGTTCTGATGACAAACATATTCATCCTAGGAACCCAACCTAATAACAGCTGCCATTGGCTTTGCACTCCTTGCCTCCTTTAATCCTCCCAGTAACCCTTTGTGGTTAGCATCTCCATTTTGCCAATGGGAAAATGGGTACAGAGAGGTAAATTGGTACTGACCTTGCCCAAGGCACCCCAGCTGGGAGGTGGGGCTGGGCCGAAGTATTAGGCCCCTGAAGCCCACATCCCAGACTCCATTCCAGCCTCACCTACGATCTGAGGTCAGGCCATGCCCTTTCAGCCTGGTACCTTCCCAGGTCAGTCCACAAAGCTCAGGTCCTAGTGAAGACAAAAGGATTTCTATAAGAAGCCCACAACTTTGTATTTGAAACAGGCATGCTTACAAAATAAGCCAACTTTGATGGCCTGCTGCTAAGCCAGAAGCTATAAGCTGTATTCCTTCCTCTAATATAGATTACTAAACCTTCATTGAACTGGAATAAAATAAACTCAGTGTTTTTAGCATGGCATTCAGGGCCTGTGCTGAACATCCCCATCTCTCTCTAACATCTGTTTGTTTCCTGCTGCTATCACCCTCTGTGAGCTGTTCTTTTATTTGGGGTTTGATAATACAGACTCTTCTGGTTCTTTACACATGCCCACAAACTGGGCTGGGCAGTTTCTGACCTCTGCTTATTCATGCTCTTCCATCTGGCTAGATACCTTTCCCCCTGTTCCCAAGTAATGCAGACTTATCTTCAGAGCCTTAGTACAAGAGGGTTCTTTCTGCTGAGAAGCCCCCTCTGGACATTCCCAACTGAGCTGGGGGCTGTCCCTGTGGCCCCCATGGTCTATACATTCCTCTGGCCCAGTGGGGTCATGCAGTCTCATATTCTGTTGCAAGTCTGTGTCACAACAGGCTAGAGGCCCATCCAGGGCCAGGCTCTGGTTTGGGCCATCTTCCCAAACCAGCACATCCCAAGGGATGGCTGCATGTGGCTGTCAACCCAGGGCTGCTGTGGTAAAGGGTGGGAGGGAGTATCACGTCCTGCTTCAGTATGCCGAATCTGAAGTCCAAACAGCCATGAGTTCAAACCACAGCCCTTGACGTGTTCCTTAGCAAGTGTCTTCACTGCTCTGAGCTTCAGTTTTCTTTTCCATAAAGTGGAAATTACCAGATGTCAAAATCAAAAATGCTATTTTAAGAATTAGGGCCATTCATCGCGTGTTCATTCATCCAGGACATACTTTGTGGGCCTCTGCCAGGGTCTGGGGAGTGCAGATCAAATCAGACCCAACTCCCCACCAGCATGGAGCCAACGTTCTCCAGTGAAGAAACAGAAGAGAACAAGATGAAGATCAGGTGGCAGGTGCTGCCAAGTGCTGTAGCAGACCAAGGGGCTTGGGGAAGGGAGGTTGGGAGGCTCCCTGAGCAGAGGCCTGTGGGAAACCAGGGAGAGAGAGCCACATCAAGAAGGGTTCCAAGAAGGGGTCACAGGCACACAGGACCGAGGTGGGAACCCTGTAGCGCCATTCCTGGTGCCACAGGGAGGCTGGTATGGCCAGAGGGAGTGAGCGGAGGAGTGACACTATCAGATGTAGGGTTCAGAAGGACCCCCGGCTGCTGTTGAGGGAAGGCCTGGGAGTGCCAAGGGCAGGAGCTAGGAGCCCAGTGGGGAGGCTGCCCCCACTGTCCAGGCCACGTTGGCAGCGGGGGCCTGAGAAGGCCGGATGCAAGGCATTGTGAGGGTGGAGCTGACAGCCTTTCCTGGTAGGCAGGAGGTCAGGTGTGAGAGAAAGACGGGGCATCAAGATGATACCTAGGGTTTGGCCTGAGCAGCTGGTAGAGGAGGGGCCTTTTGGTACAACGGAGATGTCCCAGCAGAATTCAGGGAGGTCCTTGTCGCAGGGTATCAGTACCTCTCCTGGGCTGCACTCTGCCAGGGCCCCAAGGCCTAGGGAGGAAAGAAGGCCACCATAGTCCTGCCTTCAAGGGTCCCCTGGTCTGGGGTGATGGGGTAAATTTGGGTGAGTAGCAGAGTTGATTCGGATTTAGAGAAGGTTCAGCTGGTCTGTGGGCCTAATGGTTCAACCCACCATGGGGCCAATAGCCAGGAAGTTGCTGGTGGGCAGCTGCCATTTCAAGCCCTGGCCTGTGCCAGGTGCCCAGCTGTGTGCTTTGCATGTATTCTCTCACCTCATCATCCCAATGGCCCCCTCAGATAGCTTCTGTTACTGCCCCCATTCTACAGACGAGGAACCTGAGGCTCAGAGAAGGGCAGTAGCTCCTCCAAAGTCCCATGGCTTGGACCACACTGGGAGCCAGATCAGATATGTTCGACTCCAGGGTGAAGACCTGCACCCCACCCTCTGGGGCAGCCAATGAGACTACTGAAACTTACATCTCTCCCCCAGGTCCCAGGCAATTTCCACGTGTCTACACACAGTGCTACAGCCCAGCCACAGAACCCGGACATGACCCATGTCATCCACAAGCTCTCCTTTGGGGACACACTGCAGGTGAGCAGGGTATACACAGGTGGCATGGCTGGGGGTGGGTGTATAGGGACTGTGTCTCCTAGAGCCTTCTGTCCTCTCTGGGCACAAAGATGATGTCTCAAGGGGTGAGGAAAAAGAATAGAACTAGATAAAGATCAGGTGGTCTTTATCTGGACCTGAATCTCTGAGTCTCTGCTGTGTCAACCAGCTCCTCCATATTATCCTTCCTGAGCGTGGGCCTACAGTTTTATTGACAGGACCAGTGTCCTAGGAACCTTGGGCTGAGACTTGAAGCCTGGGGAAAGGGATGCACTTCCCATGAACCAGCACTAAGTGCTAGTGTTTTCTCCATGCCAAAGTGGCCTTATGAGGTCTGAGGGGGTGCTGTGTGTTTCCCGGTCATGAAGCTGGGCCCACAGGAGCCACTTGTCTCGGGTCCCCCAGCAGATCTATCTGATGCCAGTGTGCAGCCTGTGCCCTTCTACAGCCTTTTGGCCTTCCAGCCCAGTGCCACGTCCACTCAGTAGAGGTCCAATGGTGATAGAAGCCTCTGACAATCCTTGGTTAGGATGAAGAGAGCCATCTCCAGTGGGTCCAGCCCAGCAGCTTCTTGCCATGGCAGCAGTGAAGGGAAACTAAACACAGACCACCTGATCTCCACCAGCTGCAGGCAGGTGGGGGGCTTGGATGTTCCCTCTTCCCCACTGCTCGCTGACTGGTCCAGAAGGTAGATTCTGGAATTGAGGCTCAGAGTGGGGAGGTGTCTGCTCCAGCTACAGCACTGGGATTGGGACCCCGGGTCCTGCACCCAAGCCATCCTTGACGAGAATCCTGTTTCCTGGTTAAAGGTATTGGAGGGTGGATTCCCTCCAGGGATGGTGGTGTGCACCAGGGACACACACACCATTATGCCACTTATGTGCACACACATCTACTCAGACTCACACACACACTCAAAAGTATGCCCTGACATACATGTGTTCATGTATATACCCTAAAATCCATCCCTAAACGCACACACCAAACATACACACGCACAGACTCTTGCACAGAGCACCGCCCAGAGACATGCACAGATTCACTCATGTTAGAACATCTCATATACACATGCATGCCCACACTGCCCCACGCAATGGACCTGCCAAGCACCGTTCTTTATACTCATGACCTCCTCTCACTCTCTTAGCAGCCCAAGAGGCGGATACTTTCTTTATTGTCTCCATTTTACAGGAGAGGAAGTTGAGGCCCGGGGAGGGAATACAGTCTGTTGCAGAGCATGAGTTAGAACCCAGAGTCTGGCTTCGAGCCGCACTGCTGGTACTGCCTCTCCTGTGCACCCTCCTGAGGGTGTGCTGCCTGTCAGGCACATGTACACTCACACTCCCACTCTCCACTCCACGTCGCTTGTGCTTCTTTCCCCGTTGGCACCTTGTGCCCAGCCTCAGGGGCCAGTCACCACCTTTCCAGTCCCTTTGGAGGCCACAGAGATTTTCCTCTCGGAGACAGCGCTTGGGAATAGAGAAGGCCCAGGGTCCCTGGGGGCCATGAGCCAGACTCCCTGCCTACACGCCAGTGAAGCACAGCCCGCTGTGCTATAGACTCCCTTCACACAGGGTTCACATCCACATGGTGCCATCTCTCCATTCAGGGGATTGTCTTGTGGAGGTTCCCCAGCCTGCCTTTCTGGATTCCAGTCCTGGCTCTACCACTTACTAGTTGTGTGACCTTGAACAAATTATTTATTCCCTCTGAGCCTCAGTTATCTCATCTGTCAAATGGGGATGGTAATAGTATCTGCCCCACAGGATTGTGGCGAAGGTAAAATGAATTAATGCACATAAAGCCCTTACAACAGTGCCAGGCACAGAGTCAGTGGTCAATGAAATGAGCTAGTACCACTGTTGTTGCCATCTGCACCCTAACTCTGCACCAAGCTCTATAAGACAAAGCATGCTGCCAGCCTTTGACGGGCTTATGCACCCATGGAGAAGACAGAATGTGGGGTGGTGACCACCCCCAGTGGGACAGGAGTTAACAAACCACAGGGGGTTCGCCCACAGGTGGTGGGCGGCAAGCCCTCCGTATACTAAGCATTGGGCAGTGCCCTAGCTGTCTGTAGACCCACCAGCTCAGCAAATCCTCACCACAGCCCTGGGAAAAAAGTCACTGTGAACTCCAGTGTGCACACGGCAAAATTGACATAGAGTCCTGAGTTCCGGGTTGCTCAGCTCTGCACAGCCAGAATTCAAACCCAGTCTTTAGCATGCCACACTCCTTCCTTGTGGGAACTCTGGATGCTGCAAGTCTGCTCCTTCTTACTTAGAGAGCTGCGTTACAGGTGACCTCTTGTGTAATCCTCACAAAGACTCCCATATGGTTGCTGGATGGCATTTGTTCTTCTTGCTGAGGAAACCGGGTCAGTGGGATTCAGTAACTTACCCAAGGTCACACAGCTTATAAGAAACCAGGTATGTCTGGCCCCAGGTCTTCTATTACTGTGCCTTATACAGTCATGGATTCATCAGACCCTCTTGAAATTTCTGCTCCGTGCCACGTCCTGGGGCTAAATGATGGGTAAACAATAAAGAGTTCTTTCCTTCCTTCCTTCCTTCCTTCCTTCCTTCCTTCCTTCCTTCCTTTCTTAAGATTTTATTTATTTATTCATGAGAGAAACAGAGAGAGAAAGAGAGAGAGAGAGGGAGAGGCAGAGACACAAGCAGAAGGAGAAGCAGGCTTCATGCAGGGAGCTCGACGTGGGACTCGATCCCGGGACTCCAGGATCAGGCCCTGGGCTAAAGGCGGCGCTAAACCACTGAGCCACCCAGGCTGCCCCGAGTTCTTGCTTTCAAAAGAAGAGATCGGATAACTACATATAATATAGGAGAAGGAGGGTTAAGGACAAGAGAGGCATAGGGTTCTGGGCAGTGATATGGAAGCAGGGATAGGGTTCCTCCCAGCCTGGGAAGTCAGGGAGGGCTTCTCAGAGGAGGTTACCTCTCAGGTGACATGTAAGCCAGCTCCTGAAGGGTGAGAAGGATTTGACCATGCTCACAGGGAAGGCTCTTGGGCAATGGGCATCTCACACATCTTCTATTCTATGACACACCCAGCTGGTCATTTTCATGTAAAAGACCCTCAAGGTTACTTTTAGAAAAAATGGGTAGCAGATGTCCGTGTCATCAGAACGATGTTCTATAACAAGGCATGGGAAGTGACTGCTCCTCAGAGTTGGAGAGGTTGCAGAAGTGTCCCGAAAGGGGAGCAGGGAGCTGAGTTTTATGTGGGGCGGGAGACCCGTGTTAGATTCAGGCAGGTGGGGCTGACTGGGGCAGGTTGGTGTGGAAGGTGGGCCATGAGGCCAGCATGGAGGTGAGAGGAGAGCTGCAGCCAGGGCGAGGGGAGGCAGAGCTCCGACTGAGGCAGGGTAGCAGGGAGAAGGGAAAGGGACAGACCACGGTAGCAGAGGGGACAGTCTTATGTTGCTATGTGCCGCTGGCAGAACAAGACAGAGACAGCCTTCGCTTGGTCATGGTTATGGGGGAAATGAGATTTTTTTTTTTTGAGATTTTCTTTAAATGAAAAAGAAAAAAAAAACAGCTGACGTATCCATCATCCATGCATCAAATATTTATTGAGCACCTGTTATGCACATTATGTGCCTTGTGCACATTGCCGAGGACAAGCGTGGTCCTTGCCCATGTGGAACATACAGTCTAGAGGGGAAAACAGAAGTTAATCAGATGATGACACAAGTGAATGTGAGAGAAAACCATTACACATGACTATGGGAGGGAGCATTCTAGCTCTCGTCTCCATAGCACCATCCTGTTGGGTTCAGATTGTCATTCCCTAAGGCAGCAATGGACAAACTTTCCTTTTCTTTGGGCTTGTTAAGAGTGTGCAGCTCTGTTAAGTGCGCAATAAACATCAGCCACCTGCGACCGGGATCAAGGATCAGGTCGCCCACTGCTTCCCACTACTCCTGAAGTGGCCCTTTCTCCAGAAGTCTGTCCCCCTCCTCCTACCTCCAGAAGTCTGTCCCCCTCCTCCTACCTCCAGAAGTCTGTCCTACCTCCCCCACCTTCCTCTGGGGCCACATAGGCCTCTGGTTATTCCTCAGTCTCTGGGCTCATGCTTCACAGGTGCTGCTTGCCTGATTAACTTCCCACTTTCCTACAGATCTCGGTGTGTCGCTTCTTCCAGGAAGCCCTCCAGGGTGACAGCTTGGTAGCCCCTGTTAACCATGCCCATGGTGGCATGCCCCATGTACCAGGCATGCCTTGCCCTGCTTTAGATTTCCTGTAACTGACATGGTTTCCCCTCATCCTCAGAGAAGTGGTAGGATGCGGACTTCAGCCTATTCCACAGCAGACCCTGCCAGGGGCACACAGTGGGGCCAGTTGCCATGAGGAGAGGGCTCTTCACAGCTCCTGTATGTTCTCTGCAGCAGATACAGTGGGAGACCAGCAGCCCTGAGTCCTTCGAAGGCTGTAGGGGATCTCAGGAGGCGTGTGCTGGGACCCACACCCACCCTTACTTGTATTTCCAAAGTAGCTTAATTGAAAGGAGCTCAGCCTTGAGATCAGATACCTGAATTTGGAGTTCGGCTCAGCCATTTATCAGCTGTGTGACTCTGGACAAGCTTCAGTGCTTCTCCAAGCCTTGGTCTACTCTTCTTTAAAATGGGCTCAACAGTACATCATCGGGGGCATTAAATGAGATGACTAGAAGTATGCAGGCTAGTGTGGCATATTACAGGGCCCCAAGATGGGAAACCTGCTAGTGCCAACCGTGTGCCAGGCCCCAGCTATGTGTGTATCTTGCTCTCCGCAACGTCTCTATGAGGTAGGCCATGCTGGGTCAGGTCCCTGCACCAGGCTGCACTTGGCCATCCCCTAGCAGCCAGGGCCAGGCCTGGAGGAGGCGGCAGGCTGGGATCAGTCCCCTCACTGTGCTTTTCCACAGGTCCAGAATGTCCACGGAGCTTTCAACGCTCTCGGAGGAGCAGATAGACTCACCTCCAACCGTATGTATCCCATATCCCAACTGGGAACAAGGAAAAGGGAAAAAGGGAATGTCTATTGAACACTCACTATTATAAGCCCAGATGTGAATGCTCCATTCCCACAGCTGGCCTGTGAGGAAGGTGAAATCAGCCCTGTCTTACAGAGAGAGAGAAGTGGCTCGTGTTGCACCCCCCGCCCCAGGGAAAGTACGTGACTGCTCCAAGCACTTCGTAAGAGCTCAGGGAATATCAGCTACTATCATCATTATTGCTATCATTACTGCCTCATAATTGTTTTTAGTTGAGATAACCACCTAAGATACCACAGGGAGCCCTGGCGGGACCAGAATTCATCGTGGCTCCAGTGGCACTGTGAGAACAGGGCTGGGGGTGGCCCTGTCAGGTCTGCCCACCTGGGCCGCCCACCCAACCCCACACTCTCCTGCTGGAGCCCCTTCCACCCGTGAACACCTCCTCCCTGAGTCCTCTACCTGCTGGGCTCTGTGACACCTTGGCCCCACTAAAGTGTCACACACTGACACACCTTTGCACACACCTGGTGCCTGATCTAATGAATTTTTGCACACACACACGTGTGCACACACATGGGGCCTTGGACATGTGCACAGAACAGGTCCAGGAGGCCCATCTGCTTAAATGGATTCACCGCTGGATCCTGCAGGACAGGTGACCTTGACTTTCCTTATATCCTCACCTGAGCTCACCTTTTTAAACACAAGGCTTTTCTCGTTGTTTCTTAAAACGCATTCTGCTCTCCGCTGTTCAGAAATTCAAGCAAAAGAAAACGTCTCTCTCCATGACCCATCCCCGACCCTCAACAAGTCACATTTGTCATTTCTCCACATCCCCATGAACCCTTGTCTATCAGCAGAAGTCATTGTCTCAAAGTCTGTAGACAGCAGTTTACCTCCTGATTTTTGTCCTGGACATCTTTACATGACCAAGTTTTTGTACCTTGTTTCCAGTGGTGCCAGAGGCACGGCCGCCCATCTAACAGCTCTGCCATGCTTTATTAAGGCATTGTCTTCTCATGGAAAATGTCTGTTTCTAGTTTTTTACCATCACAGCAATGCTTGTGATATTTATGGTATTTGCTTTACATTATCCCCTGGCTTTACCCCTGTGTGCATGCCCATTGGTGCCGCCTCAAGCAGTGGAGGAGCATGTAGCAGTGCCTCTTCATTTTCGTGCAAATGTCTGATTCTTTTGTCTTTTTTTAAAAAAAGATTTTATTTACTTATTTGAGAGAGGGAGAGAGCACAGAGGGATAGTGAGAGAGAGAGAAGCAGACTCCCTACTGAGCAGAGAGCCCGACATGGGTCCTGATCAGTCTTGATCCCAGGACCCTGAGATCACAACCCGAGCCGAAGGCAGACACTTGACTGACTGAGCCACCCAGGCATCCCAGCAAGCGTCTGATTTAACAGAGGCAGATCCTTCCAATGTTGGTGTAGTTGGTATGGTTCTGTGGAAGGGCAGCATGTCACCCCAAGGAGGCCATCCACCTGAGCCGGCAGGTAGCAGGGACTCTTCAGCTACCTGATACTGACATAGAACCGAGCTAGGAAGAACCCAGAGTGTGTCCACCAGTAGAGAGTATGGGCAGAAAATCCTGCCTACCCAGGCTGGCTTCTGCAGAAAGAAAAATGCATTAGATCAGACACAGGCAGCCAGGGGTAGGGCCGGCTTGCATTCCCTCAGCTCTCCAAGCTTGGTCTCCCCAAAGGGCCTTTTCTTCTCCCAGACCTTACCACTGAGGGCTGCTTCTTGTCATGTTGGTCTCAGCTCAAATGCCACCACCTTGGAGAGGCCCGAGCTGGCCCTTATTAAAGTAACGCCCACTTCTAGTCAACTATTTTTCCTTAGCCCAGACCAGTCTCTGAACATACTGAGGAGTGATACTGAATGTTTTAGCTGTGGTGATGATGGCATTGTGCTTGTTGTGTTTTGTTCTTTAAGAGTCTTTATCTCTTATAGAGACTTAACTAAAATATTTGTGGATGAATCAATGTGACGTCTGGGATTTGCTTGAAGATAAAATGGGTAGGGCGAATGATGGGGTATGGATGAAGCAAAAGAAGCAAAATTGACTGTGTGTTGTTAATTGTTGAAACTGGGGAATAGGATGCCAGAGGGGTTCTTTATATGATTCCTCATTTTTGTGTGTGTTTGAATTTTTCCACAATGAGATGCTAGCAGAAAAGGGGGCTGTGAGCACAAAAAGTACATGGGCCTGGCTGGATCAGGTCAGGGCCAGCAGCCCCTAGGAGGGGTCCACCAACAAGGAATCCACGTGGGTGGAATTAGAATGTGTAGTGTCTCTAGTGGGCATTTGGCAAATTGTATCAAAGGCCTTAAAAGTGGTCATTGCCTTTGAGTCATCATTTCTACTCATAGGAGAGTAAGCTAAGGAAATAATTAAGAGAGTATGCAAAAATTGTGGAAAATAATGTTCATTAGGTCATTGTTTATGACAGTGAAAATGAGGAGCAGCGTCAGTGCCTAGCCATGGGGGTTGGTTGGGTGCATTTACCTGGCTGCGCTGTGAGATACATGCAGATGTGTCCAAACTTCACTGGCATTCAGGCAGCAACATTAACTGAGCACCTACTGTGTGCCAGGCACAGTGCTAGGGTATATTGCAGCAAATAAAACAGAGTGGAGCTTATTACTTTCTGTGTCTTGTGCTGGTATCTGTGGTGTGTAGTTCTTAGAAAAGGGTAGCAGCCCGGGTGACTCAGCAGTTTAGCGCTGCCTTCAGCCCGGGCCTGATCCTGGAGACCCAGGGTCAGGTCCCGCGTCGGGCTCCCCGCATGGAGCCTGCTTCTCCCTCTGCCTGTGTCTCTGCCTCTCTCCATCTCTCATGAATGAATAAATAAAATCTTTAAAAAGGGGGTGGGGTGGGGTACAGCATGATTTAATTTTAGGAAAACATAAATATAAGCCTAGCAGTTTATACACAAGAATGTAAATCCATGGGTTTTTGTGGATGGTGGATTTGTGGGTGTTTTTTATTTATTTTTTCTCTTTATGATCATCCCTATTTTGTACAGATTTTAACAGAACTATTACAGGTCTGATTTTCATAAGGCTTTCACTCTTTCATTCCCTCAAGTTTTTAACCTGGGGCAATGGGCATTTGGAGCACTGTATCTCAAGTATGATCTTTGGGCCCCTGGTTTACAATGCAGATTGTGAGCCACTCCAGAGCCATTGAGCAGGACTGAGGCCCAAGTGTCTGCCTTTTAAATCCTGAGTGACTCTCCTGCTCCTGACACCTGAGGACCACTGTGGGCTTGAGCAGAGGGATGTTGGGGTCTTCATGGACTTATCCCTGAGCCTCTTCTGAGGTTTTCAGAGGGAGGCAGATCTCAAGACAGTTCAGGAAGCACCACCGTTTCCTTACCACGATGCAGCATTAGCAGGAATTCTGTATCCTCTAACCTCTTACAGCAAGTGAGTCCAAGGACTCAGAACTGATTGAGCCAGTAGACCAGGATTGGAACACAAAAGACTAAATTTCTGTGTGGTTTCAGCTCCATGACCCATGACCTGACATTCTAGACAATAGCTGAGGGGTCCTTGAGCTTCTCTTAGCATCCCAGAAGCGTGATCCAAGGGAATTCAGACCTTTCCTGGGTGATATTTGGCAGCTTTGGGCCAGCATCCTGTCAAACTAGTGTTTGATTCCACTTACCTCATGCTTATCAGAAGCTGATTCATCTGTTCTTCCATTCATGCCTCTGACCAGCCATCCCGCCATCCGTTCATTCATTCAGGAAGCACTTGCTACTGTCCACTCTGTGCCAGGCCTATCCAGGGTTCTGGGACAAGAGATGAGTAAGGCTCTGTCCCTGCCCTCCACAGCCTCCCGCCATCCAGCACTGGTGGGTAAGAGTTACAGTGGAATAGGATAGGGCCAAGTGGAGGGAAAATGGATCTCCCATTAATTGAAAATGGGGCAAGAAATCAATCAGTTCTTCATAAATGCAACTTTTCTGGTTTGTGGGCTCTTTTAATATATAAAGTTTTTTTTTTTTTTTTTTTTTTTTTTTTTTTTAAGTAATCTCTACACCCAACACAGGGCTTGAACTTAAAACCCTGAGATCAAGAATCACATGCTCCACCAACTGAACCAGTTAGGCACCCCATCATGGGCTCTTTCTTTTAAAAACTTAAACCCAACTTGCTTCAAAAGCAACAATTTTCATACAGGACCTGGGGTATAAGTGAAATGTGATCTTTATGAAAACCTGCCCTCTTCCTTTCCCAGAGGCTAATGGTTTCTTGGGTATCTTTCCAGCAAATTCTATATATTCTTGCATATAGAGAGTGAGTCTTCCCTGCCCCCAGACATGGAAACAAGGTATTCACTCCGTTCTGTAACTTGGTTCTTTTCACTTTACAATACCTCTTGGACAATGGCTTCTCCCAGGACCCCTTCAATGTTTGCCCTGTTGATGGCCATTTGAGTAATTTCCAGAATTTTAATTATCCCATATGGTACAGGAATAAAGATCCTGATAAGATGGAGTCTCTCAATTCCTAATATCCAAGGGAGAAAATGAAGAGAGGTTGTTTGGTGATGAAAATTTGGAACAGCCCCCCTATGACACCGAGTAGGTTTAGCGTTGAAGTGACATAGAAAGACTTGCCAGCTGGGCAGCGCTTCTCCCCCTGCTTCATCCTGCTGTGTCCTTCCTGCAGCTCTCGCCTCCCACGACTACATCTTGAAGATCGTGCCCACGGTGTACGAGGACAAGAGTGGCAAGCAGCGGTACTCCTACCAGTACACGGTGGCCAACAAGGTACGTAATCTGTTGGCACAGCTGTGTGCAACTGCGCCCCCTGCTGGCCATAAGCGGAAAGGACACGTATCTCAGCAGGATTCCCCGCTGGGTACCTTGAGGGGGCCTTTCCTGTGGGGCTGCTCTGGCCAGAGACTGCCCCTGGGTAAAGATGAGAGGACATTCTCCGAGTCAAGGGGAGGAAATGCTGGAGAGGATGCGGAGAAAAGGGAACCCTCTTACACTGTTGGTGGGAATGTGAACTGGTGCAGCCACTCTGGAAAACTGTGTGGAGGTTCCTCAAAGAGTTAAAAATAGACCTGCCCTACGACCCAGCAATTGCACTGTTAGGGATTTACCCCAAAGATTCAGATGCAATGAAATGCCGGGACACCTGCACCCCGATGTTTCTAGCAGCCATGTCCACAATAGCCAAACTGTGGAAGGAGCCTCGGTGCCCATCGAAAGATGAATGGATAAAGAAGATGTGGTCTATGTATACAATGGAATATTACTCAGCCATTAGAAACGACAAATACCCACCATTTGCTTCAACGTGGATGGAACTGGAGGGTATTATGCTGAGTGAAGTAAGTCAATCGGAGAAGGACAAACAGTGTATGTTCTCATTCATTTGGGGAATATGAATAATAGTGAAAGGGAATATAAGGGAAGGGAGAAGAAATGTGTGGGAAATATCAGAAAGGGAGACAGAGCATAAAGACTTCTAACTCTGGGAAATGAACTAGGGGTGGTGGAGGGGGAGGAGGGCGGGGGGTGGGGGTGAATGGGTGACGGTCACTGAGGGGGACACTTGACGGGATGAGCACTGGGTGTTATTCTGTATGTTGGTAAATTGAACACCAATAAAAATTAATTTATTAAAAAAAATAAAAATAAAAAAATAAAAAGAAAAGAAAAAAAAGGGGAGGAAATCTAACCAGGAGATGGGGTTGAGAAAGAGCCTTGCGTCTGGCCCCAGTCCTGCAGACTCAGGACCCTGATTGGTCAACACACAACAGATGCTCTCACACTCGGGTGCAAGCACTTTATCCAAAATCACCAGATGACCATTGGTTAACAGGAATGTCTTAGGACCCCAGTACTCAAAGTCATAGAGAAGTAGGTAGGCCTTGATGGGAAGCAGAGCACAGTCAGAGCCAGCAGAAAGGGATGAGTAACCATCGTTTCAAGCTGGGACAGCCTCTAGCTTCCCCGGAGATGACCCTGCCAATGGATGTGAATGCTTGGAACACATTAGTTGAGGCTCCTCCAGTGGATCCCTTTATCTCCAGGGCTATCCTTTTTCTTCTAGGGCTGCCCAAATCCCTTACAGGTGATGATAATAATAGAATAGTAGCTCCCATTTATTGAGCACTATGGGTTGGATATTATGCTAAGCTCTCTACTTCTACCGTTTTTTCCAGTCATGACAGCTCTGACTGGGGCTGTGATTATTCCCATGTTACAGATTTGGGGACAATGACACAGTCATTGGCACTGAGAGGTGGTCATAGAGCTACAGAGCGTCCAAGTGGGGGGTTAGAACTGGGTTCTCCTCTGGCTCCAGAGCCTGGCCTCTTGCTCACATCACCCACTCAGCCTGAACAGGGGCTGGTGAGTCTGTCTCAAGTGACTTAAGGTCCCACTGCCTGGATCTACCTGTGCTGATTAATATTCTGGTGTCACTTTCCAAAGGGAGTTCTGTTTCTCTTCCTCTGATGTCTGTTGAAGGGCATCTCATTGCAGCTGTCAGGTGCTCACAGCATCTAATGGCTGGGATATGGAAGCAGTCTGAGCAGAAAAGATGAGGCTGGCACAGAATGCCTATTCAGCCCTGGCTCAGTCACTTGCTAGCTGTGTGACCTGGGACATGTCGCACAACAGTCCTGTGCCTCCATTTACACGTTTGTAAAATGGGGATGGTGCCCATCTCATAGGATGGCTATCAAATGAGGCAATGTTTTAAAAAACCACTTTTTCCATAAAGGAGGCTTTGTGATAAATGGTACCTAGTGCTGCTCCTCTATCCCTCAGCTTGGGCTGGGCTGTAACCCAGACAGTCACCTTGCCCCATCAGCTCTCCCTGGAGAAAGCTGATCTTATTTTGCCCAAGGCTTCTTCCCCTGAGGCTCTGGCAAAGACCCAGCAGCCAGAACAGCCTGCTCAGCTCTCTCTGTGGCCTTGGCCCCAGCCTGCCCTGGGAAAAAGTGGGTTGTGCCCATCAGAGCTAGTGGTGGGCCATCAGGCCAGGTAGGTCAGAGCTTGGGCCTTAGCATTTGAGATTGGGGGTGCCCTGTGGCTTAGTCAGGTCTACAGTTGTTGTGGACAAATGAGAATAGCCCAGAGGTTTCCAGCAAATGCCCAAACCAGAGAGGACCCATATTAATTCAGCTCATTAGCATCCTTTTAATCCCACCAGCCAAGTGCCATCTCAGGAAGTCTGTGGTAGGGTCCCTCTGTCTTTCCAGTTCTGTGTGCTCCTTCTTTTAAGATGCCCACTCCCCATATGGCCTTTATAGTCATCTGTCTTGCACACACCCACACACATGCACATACATACACCTCAGGATCTGGCCTGGAATGACCCCCTCCCCACTAAGCCTTCCAGCCGGCCTAGGGGAAAGTCAGTCATTTGTTGCTGGTGCCCCCAGCACCCCAGGCCTCTATGCCACAGCATGGACAATGTGGCAGTGTTGCAAATACTCTTCTACATCCGTTCCCTTCTCCAGATTGTGACCCATCTCTGGGGATGGGGCAGAGCTTCCTGCCCTCAAGGTCCCCAGCAGCCAGCACTGGGCCAGCACCCAGGAGAGGGGTGTAAATAGTAAACAATCAATGAGTGAATGAATGGATTCATGGCCAGGAGTTAGAGGGGGAAATAGGCTTTTACTCTGGGGGAGCCCAAATCACACCAGTCCTTTTACACCTAATTCTGGTGTTGCTTTCAGGTCATACAATCAGTTTTCAAGCAGCCAAAAGGGTTGAAAATATCCTCAGCAATGCTTCCCCTTCTAGATGCTTGACAGCAGAGCCTCCAGGGAAGGGGTGAGAGGAACGGATGGAGTCTGGCTCCAGGCCAGAGACAGAAGAAAGCCCCTTCTTGTGGGTCACCAGGGGACCCTCTGCAATCCAACTCCCGCCCCCCATGAGCCATGGTTTGTATGTCTGGTTCTCACATCCCCCATCTCTCTTCCCCTACCCTAGGAGTACGTAGCCTACAGCCATACAGGACGCATCATCCCTGCCATCTGGTTCCGCTATGACCTTAGCCCCATCACGGTCAAGTACACAGAGAGACGGCAACCTCTGTACAGGTTCATCACCACGGTAAGTAGGTGAGGCACCTGCCATGGGCTCCTTCTCCTGGCACCCCTACTGGTTCTCAAAGGAACAGGAGGCAGCCTGCAGGGCTAGGATCTCAGGCTGTACACAGGAGATTGTGATCCCTAGGATGTTTAGAAATATTATCAGAATTGTGTCAATATTGATGGCATGTCATCAAGAAAATATTTTCCAAAGGGAAATGTCACTAAATCAATTTAATTTGTTAAGCAGATTTTTATATGGCTCGATGAGATGTTCATGATTCTCTCCAGGTTTTATTCTTATGGGTTTAGCAGGGTTTATCCTTTTCTGTAGAAATTTTACAGTGAAGATTTAACTCATTTTTTTTTCTGTGTCTATTTTCTAACTATAGCTGCTGCTGTCAGGTTTCTACTTTCTTTCCTGCCTGCTTGTTCTCTGATTTTTTTTTCTTTGATTTTTAAATTTATTCTCTTTTTTTTCCTCTCTTTGCCATTGTCTCCATCAAGTCTGATTTTTTTTGTGGGGCAGCTTTGAGCTGTTGTCATTTTTCTTTGATGCTGAGTATTTCTATCAAGGATGCTATTTCCTGGCCTTTCGTTCAAAGTGTTCTTGGAGGCAGAACAGTAGGCTCACGGCACCCTGCTTCAGCCAGGAGGCCCAGAGATGTTTGGTAAGCCAGAGTCAGCTGAGATGCAAGCGATAGGATGATTATCCCTACCTCACAGATTTGGAAATTGAGGCCTACAGGCCCTTATGCTTTTGTACCTCTTCATATTTTTAATAGTGATTCAAGCTCAGGGGTCTAATCCTGGATCTTTCATTCCTAGCTCTCACTAGATTTGCATTAGTCAGGACTGTTACAGAAAAGATACAACCTAACATCCAGCTGGCTTGAGGGGTAACTAAGCCTCAAGCATGGCTGGATCTAGGCACAAGTGTTGTCAAGAATAGGATTTTTTTTTCTCCTGTTTTTCTCTATACTGGCTTCATTTTCAAATAGAATTTACTAGTAGAAAGTGCTTCTTTCTCGGTAATTTGACCTGAGTCGTGGATAAGATAGTACTGTCACTGGCCTCACTCAGCTCCCATTCCAATCTTGTGACCTAGAGAATGAAAGGAGCAACCCAGTTGGCCGGCCCCAGTCAGATCATGAGGACAAAGATTGTGAGCAGTGGGGTTCCCCAATAGAAAAAAGAGGGGTAAAGAAAAAAAAAAAGAAAAAAGAGGGGTTCAGTTACTAGAAAACAGAGGGGTGGATTTTAAGACGCAAAAGGTCAGATGTCTGCAACAAAACGTCTCCATCTTATGATCCACTACATAGCAAGAACAGTCCCTACCCTCCCTGCCTCCCAGGCCTCATGGGACTCAAAGGACATCATCAAAGGGAAGCTCTCTGCCTGATAGAAAGCCATGTGGATACAAAGGGTGTCAGAATGCTCTTGCTTCTATGAGCCTCATGACAGACTTTTGCTGCTTTCTGACTCCATACAAATTTGAAACTTCTAGGCAACAGAGGGCATCTAACATAAAGCTAAGACACCCAACACAGATTAGAAAAAGGTATTTGTCACACACACAAGAAAGGAATAATCTTCAGAATTTACAGAGAGAGAATTCCTACAAACCAGTAGGAAAAAGTTAAGTGACCAGAAAGAAAAATGGGTGAGGACTTGACCATTCATGGAAAAGACCAAACTGGCCATGAAAAGATACCCGAGGGGGATCCCTGGGTGGCGCAGTGGTTTAGTGCCTGCCTTTGGCCCAGGGCACCATCCTGGAGACCCGGGATCGAAGCCCACGTCGGGCTTCTGGTGCATGGAGCCTGCTTCTCCCTCTGCCTGTGTCTCTGCCTCTCTCTCTCTCCCTCTCTCTCTCTCTCTCTCTATTTCTCTATGTGTGTCTCTCATGAATAATTAAACAAAATCTTTAAAAAAAGAAAAGAAAAAATATACCTGAGTTCCCTAGAAATTGGAAGAATTTGATTCAAAATATAAGACCCAATTCAGTCCTATCAGACTGGCAGAAATTAAAGATCCACCACAATAGAGATTGAGAGGATACACAGCAAAGGGGACCTGCATACACTCTCTGGTACCAGGTGGATTGGGTCAGCCACTGTGGCGGGGCAGCTGGTGCACAAACCCTTTAACCAAAAGCCAGGGAACTTGTGAGCAAGTGATTTTACCCAAGGCCCTACAGGGTAGTACCCCAAGTCTGCTTGTTTGTTTGTTTTTTCACCCCAGTGCATACCCAGAGTAAGACAGAAACTAAGACATTAGTAAGTATGTTTGTGCAGGTGTGGTCTGCTGCTCAGAGGCCCTGGAGTCTGCAGCACTGGCAATGGCAGAGAAACCCCTTTGCTTCTGTCTCATTGTAGAGTTGAGAAGGATCTTCGTGTCCCCTTCTTATTTGCTCCTATATGCCACATAGCTGAGGTTCTGAGTGTGAAAATCCTGTAGCAAGTGACTGAGAAATGACAGCAACTTCATTTATTCTCTAAACTTTTGCTAGAATTCACCACATGCCAGGCCCTGTGCTGGGCAACAAAGATAGCTGAATTTGACTTTATCCCCGTCCTTATACTTCTCCCAGCTGGTAGGGAAGAGGTGTGAACATGCAGAGAAATGAAGTCCCATCCAGCAAGGGTTCCATTGGAGCTGTGCACCAGACACTGTGCACAGTGCAAAGACTCCCTTTTGTTTGGAAAATTTGGAGAAGGAAACCCAGAGATGGGTCTTGAAGGATGGGGAGACATTTTTCTAGATTGATGAGTGGAGGAGAGAGGGTCTTTGCACAGGGAATAGTATGTGCAGAGGTGCCCAACAATAGCATGTTTTGTGAAGGCCATGTGGCCTCTTTTAATGCGGATGGGCTTCTAAGAGCTGGAGATCCCAAGAAGTCACAGGGAAGAGCTTATCCTTTATAACCCAGAGGACCAGATACCTCCCTGCCTCCATGTCCTTCTCCTCCTGTCTTTGGCCATCAGCCTCACCTCCATTTCTGCCCCCCTCCACCTTCACTCGAGCATTGACCATGCTGAGTGAACCTCCTGACATCATTAGCCTGGTGGTTTTCCTGAAGGCCCCATGCCACCATCACGGTTGCCTTGGCAACCATGGGGTCAGCCCCAAGTGAGCCAACCGGCTGTCCCTGGCAGATGGCATCATTGTGGAGCTTCAAAGGCCCTTGTCACGAGGCGGCAGATGTAGGGATGACGCTCACATGCAGACACACACAGCACAAAGACCCCCCAGGAGCCCTAGCAGGCTGGGGTGGGGCCAGGATGGAAGTGGAGGCACCTGCTGTGACTTCTCTTTCTCCTTTTTAAAATCAAACACTTGTGTGCAAAACCCCCAAGCCCCAAATGGGGGCCTCTGCAAATAGCTCCTCACAGGGGCTGCTTAAGAAAGGGCTTAGGCCAGAGGCCAGGATGTCGTCATGCGGCGCGGCTGCAGGGCTGCAGAGGCAGCTGTGGGTGGGCTGGAATGAGATGGGGTATAGTTCGAGGGGGTGTGGAGGGGAGAGGCCGGTGGGGCCTCCCTGATGCATCTGTGCCTATCAAGTACCTGGCTTCTTCGAGGTTACCCCTCTAGGGCCTCATGGTTGACCAAGGACCTGGACATTCTGAGCCTGAACAGAGGAGGATCCCTCCTCCTGGAAGTCTCCACCAGGCCACACAGGGCTTCTCCATCTGGGCACCCAGGGAATGTTGCTCAGACTTCCACTTTGTGCTATTCCAGAAAATTCCACCACTAAAGGAATAAACACATGGTATTTAACAACAGGCAAGTGATCCCCTTCAAGGTGCCTCCTCCCACACACGCACATGTGTCCCCTGCCCCTGCCACTTGCTGAAGCCCTTTTTCTGGGATTGCCTTCAAGTGGGTTGTGGTGACAGATTGGATGACTTCAGGAGTGTCACATCACTTTTCTTGTGTGTTTTATTCTATTAGGCAGGAACAGCCAGAAGTGAAAAAGTACCAAATTGGGACAGTTGGGCCATGACAGTTTTTGCCTACCAGAAAGAACCGGTTGGCAGTGGCGTGCCTTATTGGGCAGCAGGTGTAGCTGTATTAGACAATCCCTGCCCTCAAGGTGCTCCTGGCCAGGAAAATAATCCCCCCAAACTTTAGATTGCACTTTAGAATTGCCAGGCCTGATAATGATGAACTCCAGGCCTGATGCCCCTGTGTGTCCGCAGCATCTAGCATGCACAGAGCCTAGCCTGGGTGTAGGTACTCAGAAATGTACAAGAGACAGCTGCTTGAAGAAGTGATGGTATAGCTACACTCATTAAGCATCTACTACATACTGGGTGATCTTATAATTATCTTCTTTAACCTTCCCAGGAACCCTCCAAGGTAGATGATATTATTCCTGTTTTATGTATGAATTCACTGAGGCCCAGAGAGGTAAAGAAACTTATCCAAGGTCACATAGTCAGTAAATGGCAAGGCTGGGGCTTGACCCCAGAGCTCATTCTGTTATGTCCCCTACCCCCCCCCCCACCACCACCACTTAGCTTGGGAGCCTCCATCCTCCAAAACAAAGGCCCTCAAAGATGTTCCAACAACAGAGTCCCCGATACCAGGATGATTTGATATGGTGACTCCCTACTGGAAATGAAGAGGAAATGTTACAGCAGGAAACAAGTGATATTGTGAGCATGAGTGATAAAATCACTGCCATACACACACACCAAAAAAACAACAACAACAGCAACAAAACCAACCTACATCAACTACAACTATCCATCTAAGACTGGTTGGCTGGTGGCTCACAAATGTTCCTGCCCAAATCTGATTACCTTTCACTCAGCTGTTTAGCTATCTGCAAGGATTTGCCATAGGCAAAAGGCATTAGGTACTTGGGTGGAAGATGGAATGCAGCGGAGACAGTAAAAACAATTGAGAACGAGTGCTTGGATGGCTCCGTCAGTTAAGGGTCTGCCTGCAGCTCGAGTTGTGATCCCAGGGTCCTGGGATCAAGCCCCATGCCATGCTCCCCACTCAGTAGGGAGC